CCCCTGGAGAGCAAAAGCCGCCTCCCGTGGGGCTGGCCGCGGGTGACCACCGCGGGGCCTCACCTGAGGCCACCTGCTTTTTCCGGGTGCCGGATTTCGTTATTGCCATTACATACACACACACCCGTTTCTCATTTTGGTGTTTACTTTTAAAATTTGAAGAAGCTTCTTTGCCAAAAGTCTGTGGAAAGCGCAGGACCATCTGAAAGAAGGTTCAGCTCTGCGCCTTGGCGAGTGTCCGCCATCTTAGTCTGCTCCCTCACGGTGGCGGCTGCGCCTCTCTGTCCTTGCCTGCACCTCTCTGTCCCTGCCCGCACCTCTCTGTCCCTGCCCGCACCTCTCTGTCCCTGCCCGCACCTCTCTGTCCCTGCCCGCACCTCTCTGTCCCTGCCTGCACTTCTCTGTCCCTGCCCGCACCTCTCTGTCCCTGCCCGCATCGCCGTGTGCTGCCATCACTAGAGGACAAAATAGCGATACCTTTAGGTGGAAATGCGTGTGTGTGGTGTGTGTGCAAGGGCAGTCACCGCATGGCTCTTCAAGTGTGACTGCCAGCCATAAATTTCAAATGTTTTACATTACTTTTTTGCTGTCCTCCTCATCTCTCATTGGAGGGAGAAAATGCCTCGCTTTGGGGTTTCTGCTAGTGAAGGACTTGGGCTGTTTGTTGACAAGGACGGTCACCACTGCTCACGGCAGCGCAGAGTCCGAGGCATTCGTTTTGTTAGCATTACTTTGTGATTTTTCCAACTGTTAAGAGGTGAGGGGAAGTAGGAAGTGTAAAAGCCGAACAGTTTTGTGCCATCAACACTCTCGACCACCAAAAACCGTGTAAAGTATTCACCATAATAAATACTTCATGAGAAAGGGTGTTTTTGCAGAAATCAGGAACACATGGGGTGTTACTCATCCATCTCAGAAACAACAGAAAACTGACATTTCTTAAGATTTCATTTCAATGGACTCAGTTGAACCTGTTACACCACAGGCTTTCCCAAAGATGCTAAATGAATGATGATTACTCACAAAGAAAGTTTCTGAGACATGAATCTCGCTGAAATGAATGCTTCACTTATGAAGCCTCTCCAAGAATCTTGAAGCACTCGGTGAACTTTCACAGACATCACTTGGGAAGTGATTTCCATCCCTATTTTACAAAGAAATTACAGATTAAGCTATTTATTCCTACTGAAAATTTGGAGTAGATGCGTACGTTTTGACTCTGAGAGTAAAACACATGGCCCCCTGATTACCTGTCCCATGATTTTGCCCCAGGATATCTTTTGGGGCAAAATGCTGCTTTTTTTTTCTTTTCCCTACCTGATCCCAGCCTGAATGCTGCCTCAGCTACTAGTTTCTGCTTTTAAAGAACTCACCAATGTGTGATGCCAGTAACGTTAGGGTCAGAAGTGGCAATGGGAGGTTGTCTACTTTGCTCTTCGGAGGTTGCCCTACATTGTAGATTGTACAGCAGATTAACCATCTGGAGGTTTTCTGTTTATTTCTTTTAAAGCATAAAAATGCATAGATAGCTACACGATCAGGAGATTCAGTACAAACAAATACAGAGATCTATGGCCTGATTAAGTTTTGCCTGTATACTAAAATCAGCCAGATATCAAACAGCTAATCAGCATGTAGCTGGCTTGGATTTTCTGGAGGTTACATTGCAGAAGAACAAAAGGGTTATAACTAAGGGCATTTAACAAATATAAAAACTTTGTGAAGTGGAATTCGTTCCAGGCACTGCTCTGCTCCAGCTGTGCAGTGGTGCAATACAGAAATGCCACTGGGTTGCATTGATGAAGTCACACCACGGGCTCAAAATGCAACCCGAGTCCCCTATACTTTCCAAACTTTTTCCTACCCGATTTGGCAGTGCATGCAAATAGATTGAAAAGGCTAAAGCAACGACTTGCAGGACACCAAACTCTTAAGGGCACATTCAGGCTCTTTCACATGACTCATGACTTTCACTCTTTCAGAAAGAAATACTTTTGAAGTACTAAAGAACAAGCTCTATCCTGAGAAAATTCAGAATGTTGAATTCTTCCTTGAGGCAAGAGGGGATTTAACCTGCAGGGCTTCTCTTACAAGGGTTGTATTTGGTAAAAAAGAAAGACTGAGCAGACACATACAAAACGAGCAGGTAGGAAATCATCTCTGTAGCAGAAAGAGCTGAAGTTTCTGGTTTTTTCATGTGGTAAACGCTCTTATCAGCCCAAACTTTGCTTTTCTAAACCTTCTTCTAAATGCTGGTGCATTTACATAATACATACACAAGTGCACATTCATGGGTGACCAGGGAAGCACAGGCAGTGTAAGCAAAACAGGCAGCACTAAAAAAATCTGCAAAAGAGCTCTGCAGAAGTGGTGAAGCAACCGGAGATGGGAGAAAGAACTTGCTGCTGTGCACGGGGACACTGATTTCGTTGTGATTGCGCGTGGCGCCAAGCGACTGCTGAGACACAGAAAATGCAAAATGCGATTGTTTTACTCCAGACAAATGGTTAAGTGCAAGTTTATATTGATAGCTGATCCGACTGATAATTACAGAAATAAACCAAACCAACAAAATAACCAACCCCAAAACACAGGGTACTAATTTCTTTTGTATTTTTGATAGCCTACCAGATTGCATCAACAGGACAACAGCTACAACATGTTCAGGTTTGTGCTGAAGCAAACTCTTCTTAGTAGCAAAGATCTTGGGAGAGGAAATTCAGACTGGTGCAATAGGAGGCTTTGGAGAATCAGGGACTGGTGGCAGTAAGTCTTTCTGATCATGGAGAAAGAAAGTGGACACACACATTTTCGGTATCCAGCACTTCAGGTTGGAGAAAGAGCCTTACTGTTAGCTTAGGGCGTTCTTCCCCCACCCCAAACGCTGCCCAAGCAATAGTAGTACTGAAGCTCAACAATAGCAAAGCCTGCTCTCCTGAGATGTTCAAATACTGCTGTAAAATGTGGAGAATAGGTTAAAATAAAGGCCTGTGTGCGTGAAGTCAGGGCAGTTCTCCCACCAATGCTGGTGGAGATTGGCACAGAGATACCAGATTAAATACAGCCTTTGTCTGTTGGTTAGCCCTTTGTCAGCTCTTTTGTCAGTTAATTTCCATAGTCAAACCCAGTGGGAGGGAAGGGATAGACTTGAGGAAATACATTCAGCTTTTAAAGCAATTGCTGCTGATTTTTTTACTTCCTTCGATCTCTACTGCTTCTCCCTTCTTCCTGTTACCCCCCATCTCTCCTGCTGTCTTGCATGCTTCCATGGGAAGGGCCAGACACTGTCATCTCCCAATTCCTCCTTGGGCTTCTCCACTTTTCCTGTTTCCCCTCCTCAGTTGTTGATTACCTCATAATCTAGAAATGGTGTCAGGGAGCAGCAAGAGCTGGTATGATCCAAGAGGGAGAACAAGCCAAGACCCATCAGAGACCATAGCACAGGTAGTGACATCCCCAGCCAGGGCACAGTCCCACTGTGCCCAAGCAGAGGTGAGGTTATAACTGTGACGGAGTCCTTCCGCCGTACCAGGGAGCCTGCTCAGGACAGCAGAAGGCAGAGCTGGAGGCAAGGCTACACCGTAGGTCCAAGGTCTCTATCCAGGAAGCACAACCAAGGATAGAATGAGGCTACCTACAGTGTAGGTCCAGCATCCACGCAAGAAACCTCACCAGTAAGCCAAGACAGCAGGGAGCAGCCACAGGTCTGGGTGCTCAGAGCCTGAGCTTAGATGTGGCTCCTGGGTCCACAGGCAGGGTGTGTGGATGAGGGTCCCAGCTGAGGACCACTACTGGTGCTCTCAAGCCTTGACAGCTAGTTAAGGGTAATGCTGAAGCAGTACAAAGTTTTAGGTTTAAGACTCCAATGGGGGAAAAGTAAATGAAGATGCACCTTAAAAGACAGTTGTGTTGCTTTGTAGTTATTAGGCAAGTCTCCTTTTGCCAGTTGCAGTGATGCTCTTCCTCTTAAGCAGTAGCTCTGCCCATATGCACGTGACTCCTAGGTCTCATACTCGCAGAGTTTTTTTTAGCCTCTGCCACAGTCTCCCATTGTGATTTCAGACAAACTGCTACTTGTTTCTGCTTGCTTAGTGATGAAGTAGATGGATTTCTTTATCCAGTGTGGGCATCTGAGGTGAGGCTGTTACACAGGGCTAACAAAGACCTGCCAGGTCTTCATAGACAGCCCTGGGCATAGGTGCCCCTCTCATAAACTGATCACCCTCCATCTTGAAGGCGGTGAGAAATTTCCCCCTTGTTTCTGCTTTGGAAAGGCTACTCAGTAGCCTCACTGGTTGGTTGATGAAACATACTTTCAAAGTCCTGCTCATATTGATGGACAGTTCAGTTTACTGGCACTTGTTTTCCCAAATGATCTGAAATCTTCAGCCACTTGATACAGGTGCACCTATTTGCTTCTTACCTAACCAAGGAGAACAATCAGTAGGACTTAAATTTCATCATCTTTCCTGATGTGAGGTTACGGTTGCCATGTTGTGTCTGCCCTGAAAGATGGCCAGGTGGTGACCCCTCCACCCCAGCAGAACCTGAGCTTAGTTAAAAGTGCCTGAACGGTCAGGGTTTGTTAGCATTACCTGCAACAACTTCTTGTGAATCACAGCAACATCCTCAGCAGAATGGCATGCTGAGGTGGATGTGATTTTGTAACAGTCAATACAAACAGGAAGCTTCAGGAAGTGTAACAACCAACATTTTTTTTTATTAGAGGGGCAATGGCCAAGCCGTTCAGGAGGAATTAATTTTCAAGATTTGGCTACAGATGAGCTCTACAATCTCATTGCCTTCCCCATGCCCAGCCGCGGGTTTTTTTCGGGGAGAGACTTCAAGCACATGCCTTCCACCCTTTGGTCTTTGAAGCTGGGTTCCCTCTAGTGGCATTAAGAGGAGCATCAATTCTGTCGTATTGACTGATCTTGGTCCGTAGTAGGGGCAGGAGGAAAGAGGACACTGCAGGGTGTTACCAACTCACATCAGAAACACTGACTTGTCTTCATCTGGCTAGTAGCCTAGGACTTTTGTGTACCACAGGTTCTTTATTTTTTCCATCAGCTGTTCAGCCAGTATACTGATTTTAGTTGTTTCTCTGATGAGGAAGTTCCTGCAGGAGACAACAGTGTATGTGGTAAGATACACAAATACGTGAGCGTAATCTTTGTCTGCTGTAGTTATCCTACTGCCTGTCACTGAGGGTGCAAAGCTTCTCAGCAGTCCTATAGGAGCTTTCCTCAGAAGGCAGGAAGAAGCAGTGTATGTTTGCCATGAGTGACTTGAAACTATCTCTAGGGTCATTGTGTTTTTCCTTTTGGGAGGAAACTTGTTCCCCTTCTTTGAGGAATATGTATTCGCAGCAAGGGCAAATTCTGTGACTTGTGTCGAGTGACAGCAGTGTTTCCTGGCACCTTCAGTACTCAGCCCCTCACAGACAGCACCGCAGCACAATTCCAGGGGCCTGATCCCCCACCAGCCAGCGGCCCCCTCCCACGCGTACAGAGCAGTACCTGCTATCCCCACGAGCATTGCCATGTTCAGTGTGCATCCCTGGGAAGAGCTTGCACTTTCACGTGAAACCGTATCGTCCCACCCTACCTTCCAGCACCCCGTTCCCATTGTAGTCACATCAGGCTTTGGTTGCTGATTCATTTACCATTGGGTCTCCCCATATAGATACTTGATTAATATGTTCTTTCTCCCACTCCTCCCTCTCTGTTTTCACCCATGGCTATTGCAGCGTTAGTGCAGAGGATCTTTCCATACCTGGTCACAACAACTACTGGAGTCTGGGCAGCATCCGCCAAGAACTGGCCGGCTTTAGGAGACATCTTACTCACAGTTTCGTAGATGTAAGCTGCAATTGCATCGGGGATAACCAACCAGTCACGGCGGTCTCTCTCAAAGATGGACTTTGAGTGCACTTCTGAGAAAGAGGAGGTAAAAAAACATGAGGTCGCGTGTGTCTCTGGTATCTTCCCCCAGACACAGTGAGAAGAGACTTGAAATTCTAAGATTCAAAGCCTCCCCCAGAATTTGCTCTGGCAGTAGCCAGCAGTACCTCATCACCCATTTTTGGGCATCTAGGTCATAGGCCTTACATGGCAGGGTATTCGCACCAGCTCTGGGCAATTTTCATGCCAGGCCCCTACCGACTTGCTTCACACTGCCAAGCACTTTATATTCCTGGTCTTGAACCGTGTTACTGGGCTTCAGTCCTACTTTATGGATGGGTTAGACTTCTCTAAGGCAATTGAGAACCTATAGAGCTGAACTGTGTCTCAGGCAGATGGAAAAGCTTTTTAGACTTACCAGGGAGAGTGGTGCTAAGGAGCAGGATCAGAGCTATCACCAATGCCCTGGATTGCAGCATGGTTTGCAGTACCAGTTCTGCTCTCTACACCAAGAGACCTGCTGGAATCAGCATACAATGTATTGTTCGTTTTCAGAGAAATAAAACCACCAGATTTTTACAAAAAACCTAACCAGTATATGAACAGGAAAGATCATGGTGTATTTCTTCTGAAGTGAGGAAAAGATAGTGTAAAGATGAAAGTGTTCTTTTATTTCTGTAATTTCAAATATCCACAATGAATGACAGCTTTCAGAGCTCCAAGAAACGTGACAGTTAAAGCTACTTCTTTTACACGAGAGCTAAAAATCCCTTGTTTCAACACATGAGCAAACCATTAAAACTAGCAGAGGTCAGAATAGGTTTCCTCCACACATAAGTACAACAATTCATAATGTGGGATTTTTTTGCTTGATTTTTTTTTTGGTAAATTGCTCTGAAGAGCATTGTGCTAGTGATCATCTTAGTGACCTGGCGATCCGAGTATTTTGTCTTGCTGTAGTTGAGGAAAGACCCAGCTAGGTTCTCTTGTCTTTTCCACACAGGGTTTAATGAAGCAGATAGTAGCCCAGGCAGAACAAGCTATCAAAAGGAAGTAAGTGGAGATTTTAGCTTCATCCAGCCTCTTTTATTTTGTCTATTTAAAAAGTCAGAATTGGAAGAACTCTTGAAAATTTGGTACATTGAAAAGATGACTTTACATCTAAAAAAGCTTTCAAACATGCTGCACTTAAAAAGGTGTTTAGAAGGTAAAATTGATTTATACCCTGAATTAAAGGGTTGCATCACTCGGAGCAACATGAAGACAACATTGCAGCGTTAGGAATTTCAATGGCAAAAAAGGCTGCCAATTCTATTACATTTAGCTTTGCTAAATCCTGTGCCAGTTAGCTACATGTCAATGCTCCTTCTTATCCCATAGTAAGGAAATTTCCATCCATTTTTATTTCCTTCTGCGCACGGATTACCTCCAAATGCTACCACTCCATTCACTAGGCACTTGCTGACCAGAAGCAGTTGCTCCATTACCACCCTTCCTTGATTTTTAATCCTAGTGCCAGTTTTGCCCTCTGTAGGTATAAATTTGCTTCCCAAGAGCATACAGAGGTGATCTCACCCACTTTAAAGCCTGTAGTCCCTGTGGTGAAGGCAGCTGGGAAAAAGTTATGTGTCTTCCAATACTGAAACTCTGCAATCCCTACCATGGGCTTGACCCTCCTGTGAGTGTCTTATGGAGCATCCATCACTCAGCTTCAATACAGGTCACCTCAGACTTCCCTACCCTCCTCTGTTTCAGCAATATTCCTGGCTATGGAGCGTGAGAAGGGCTCACACTTTGGCTTGCAATAAGAAATGGCGTAAAATAGAAAAGCACCTCCAGTCACTTCTCTATGTCCTAGATACACCAGTCACAAAGTCCATATCACCTAGAACAGAAAGTTCAGCTCTTACCTGTCCTGCTTTCTCTTTCTTTCTCAGGCCGAAACTGAGGTAGATGCTCATCTGAGACACCGGCATTTATGCAGAGCTAATATAACGATAGCTAGGGGTCAAAGGTCCTTCTTTATTTCCCCATTTCCTCTTTTGCAAGCACATCCAGCCCAGTGGGACAGGCAAGAAGCTGTGGAGGACTCTGGACCTGTTACTGAGATTTGGTAACGGAGGGTCAGTCTGACCTGAGCCTAAGAGACATGGAAGGCAGCTCCTGGGTCACCGAGTCCCCTACTTTTGCAGGCAACCGTGTCATAGAGGCCCCTTTCATAAGTTGACCAAATTCCACATTAACACTAGCTACAGCTGGGCTGAATTTTCCTTCCACTGTTCCTGTGGGAAGGCCTGTGCTGTAACCTCACTGCTCTGACGGTTGGAACTTACTTGCAGCTATGACGCCCATTGGTATTTCACCCTCCGTTTCTAACAAGCGCGTTAACCAAATGGTACACAGGGGTTAAGTGTGCACCTCTCTCACATTTCTCCTTTCCCCATGCCCATTCTTTTTGCACAGGCCGACTAGATGGGCACATATCTGAGTCAGCTGTCAAAACTTATCCAGGGGAAACATCCAGCTCCAGGACCTCCAGCCCAAGAAAGACGTGGACCCGTTAGAGCAGGTCCAGAGGGCCATGAAAAATGATCAGAGGGCTGGAACACCTCACTTGTGAAGAAAGGCTGAAAGATTTGGGGTTGTTCAGCCTCGAGAGGAGAAGGCTCCAGGGAGACCTTATAGCGGCCTTCCAGTACTTAAAGGGGGTTTATAAGAAAGACGGAGACTTTTTACTAAGGTCTGTAGTGACAGGACAAGGGGGAAACGTTTTTAAACTGAAAGAGGATAGATTTAGATTGGATATAAAGAAGAATTCTTTACAGTGAGGGCGGTGAGACACTGGAACATGTTGCCCAGAGAAGTTGTGGACACCCGATCATTGGAAGTGTTCAAGGCCAGGTTGGATGGGGCTTTGAGCAACCTGGTCTAGTGGAAGGTGTCCCTGCCCAGGGCAGGGTGGATGAGATGATCTTTAAAGTTCCCTTCCAACCCAAACCGTTCTACGATTCTATGATAACTTTACCCCAGGCTCCCTGGGGTCCTGGTCCCAGTCAGAAAGTGGCTCCATTGCCACTGTAGGGTGTGTTTTCCCATAGCTCAAGTTTCAAGTGCCTGTTGGGTCTTCAGTCATGCCATCCATCTGTATTTGGCACATGCAACCACTGAGCAGTAGGGGGAAGAGACAGAAAGGCTGCAATGCTGAGCTACAAGGGGCATTAGCTAAGGGGAATGGGGAGGATATGAGGCATAAATTAAGCCTACTGTGTGAGACCCAACAGACCTCTCTTCTTATGTCAGCCACTTATGTATTAAGTGACTGACACACGTGGAAAGTGTGAAAAGTTCAACCAGTATCTTCATTTATCAACCAAACAAAATTTCTAAAAGACTTTTCGTCTCATGGAGCTCAAAGTACTTTAGAACCAAACAGTTAAGTGTTCTTATTTTACAGACATGGCAGCCAAGTCAGCAATTGCTAGTGGGTCGCATCATTAGAGGGCTGCCAATGGTTTCCCAGACATTTTTATACTCTCGTGGTGAGTATTTATTAAACTTATCTTCTTTCTTAGAAAAACAAAGAAAAAAGTCTCCCAAAATAAGAACAACAACAACAACAACAAAAACCATACAAGCAAAACATTTTGCATTTTTGTACAAAAAAACCAACCAAAAATTCTTACTAACATATAACAAGGTTAATTCCAGAACTAAGAACAGAGAATTTTCAGATGCAGTTCTAAAAAGCAATTTATATTCTAGGAAGAACATACAAGAGCAACTGGTTGAAAGTTCGCTTACATTTTAATTATATATTTGACAGTCATTGAAGAGAATCCACACATTTACCATCTGTTTTTACAGCTGAACAGTATTCAGAAGACGAGCACAAGGCACACTATAGGCATTGAACTTAGCAGAAAAGGCAACAAGTGGTCATTACTTGTGGGGGTTAATTTAATATAACCTCAAGTGTCATCTCTCTCCTATGTCAGGTTGACAAATGGAAGGCTCGAACCGTATTCAGTGCGTGTTTTAAACAACTGATGTGCTGCTGGAGGTAGTAACACAGAGGGGACTTAGCTGCCCTATGTAGTAATAGGTACTGCTGAAGAGCTTTGCATTGTGGTTGTTATCACACAAGGTAACTTCCCGCCCCTGCCCAAAGTTAGCCTAACTGGAGCTAGTGCTATCATGAATACAATCCCAGAGATAGCAACTGGGCATTTCAGCACTTTCTACTGCCAAAGAGGCACTTGCCAAGACCAGATCAATGATTGCACAAGAAGCAGCCCTTACCCTCCATTCCTGGAACGGCATTCGGGAATGGCAGGGCACCCTGCAAATACGCAAGAAAGCCAGATATTGCAAATCCTTTCTTAATCAAAGAAAAATTACATTATTTTTTATCTCTCTTGTGAATCTCTGGTCTGAGGTGGAAAGCAGCTGACAGGAGCAGCACGGGCATCCTTATCTGCCCCATGTGGCAGGGTCACTTACTCATTACATTATTTTTTAAAATTAGGGTAACTCCAGTGGCTATCAAGGCACTTTATCTGAGACAGAAAATTTGTTCCTGGGGGTAAGGTATACTCCTTCAACTGCATGACAGGAAGAACAGAAGTCTAGAATGGCAATAACTTCCATATGTGAAACATACTCAACTTTTTTCATCGTAAATGGGCGGACATATGAACATCAGCTCTTTGGAATGGCTGAAAAATTAAAGCATGAATAAACTGCAACGTAGAAAGAATGAAGCTAGGCTATTTCCTGCTGTTATTTCTTTCAGTGTGCAGTATTTGAGCTGCTCAGTTCTCCTTCTCTTTTTAAAAGTCAAAGACCCTGTAATCTTACTGGAAAAAAAGAGGCCACATAGTATTGTGTGGTGCTGTCACAATGGCTTTCATTTATTTCTATTTTCAATTTTCTATAAGCATTCAAAGCAGAACCGATTTCCTTACAACTTTTCTGTCTGCCTGCAGTTATAAAGCATGCATATATAGATTTCCTTTGTCATTATTTCACAGCCCACCAACTGCTGTTTTATGAACCGCAGCAGTCTGTGGACCACTAAACCTGGTACCATTTCTGCTTCCCTGCTGGATAACCCAGTCTACTTCTGTCACAATTTAAGAAGATACAGAATTAAGACTGAGATACGATCAATTTTCCCTGAAGAGTTTTGTTTAATGTTTCTATAAATATGAACAACGTGGCTGAAGAGGAGCTCAAGTATGATAAAGACAAAACTCTCCAGACTTCACACAGCACAAATTGTGTTCGCACAATCTACAATTAGTCACCCTATCTCAATTATGGGGACGAGAGGACCAAATAAAGATGGAGGGCTCCTTCACAGGATTTAGATAAAAGAGCACAACCTCTGCAGTTATTGTGCTCCTACTACAGCAGCAAGCTTCAACAGCTGCTACTGTTACACAGACTCATCTGGGTTTTCTTGCTGTGTGAGGGGGTTTCTTGCTCTTCAGAAAACTGGCCGGACACACTTGAACGTGAAAGAAAGTGAACTC